CAATTTCATGCCTCTTGTCACACATGCAATCAGCTGCCTCAACCTGACTGATCGTTTTTGATTAATTAGTCTATTGCATTCCAATTTGTGCTTATTACACGTGTGTGTGTGTGTGTGTGTGTTTGTGTGTGTGTGTTTGAGCTGAAACGCTTACCAGGCAAAGTTAACGGCTTTGTTTACCGTTGACTTAATGATTGTGTCTATTATTTAATGAAACGTTTGGATGTAGAGCGCCATTGCAGTCGGTTTAACAGTGTTGTTGTACCATAATGAGCTGAGCCACTAAAGCGGTCTGAAAGACGTGGGCGGAGCCTCGATTGGGACTTCTCTGCTCGCGGGTCATCAGCAGATTCTCGATCAGTTTCTTCTACTTGCAGACAATTGCAGGGGGGAGGCGGAGCCTATCCCAGCTCTAGGACAGGTAGTCAATCTGCTGTTGACACCATTGACACCTACAGTCAATAGAGAATGACCTAACCCCACACAGAAAGGCCCCGGACTGCATGTGATGCGTCGGCGCTAACCGCCGCGCTGCTGCGCTACAACATAAGCATCTATAGGATGCTGTGCAATCCCATTAGGCAGATGGAAGGATGTGGGAAGTAATCTGGTTTCACCACATGACACCAGTCCGCATGCAAGTGATTGATTAAAATCATTTAAATTCACGTTTGTTCTGAGGGTTTAATCGACTTCTTCCACTTATTGGGCAAACTGTGGTTAAAATAATCGATAAGGAAACGGACCAGTCGGTGCAGCTTTGAGCTCAGGTGTCCTCGTGTATGAACAATGACATAATAGATTCTGCGGTTTGTGTTTGATGCAATGCAAAGCAAAGCAGACAGTCATCTTTTGCATTGAACCAAAGGTCAAACAGCGGACAGACATATTAAGCTTCTTTGCATTTGTCCAGACGAGACGTTTCACTAAGAGCATTTGAATGGACTTATGAAGCTATGACTGGAGCCGTGCTCTGTCTGGACGTCAGTGCAGCGAGATTTGCGCGATTCAGGCAGAGATGTTATTAAGTTGAGTAATAAGCAGGCTCGTTTGTTCACATCTTTACTCTCCAGCTCTCTGGACTCTCTGTCTGCGGGCTGGACGAGTCTGAGGTGTTTAATATGTTTTAAAAGCCCGTGAGGATGTTTCAGTCCTCCCCTCTTATCGTGGATCCCAAACTTCAAAACGTTGGCACATGCCTGCAGATACGAGGTTGTATCTTCTTCTTCACACATGATTTTGTCTTCCTTGAAGCTACCGCCGCCCCCCCTCTAAACTTGAGCAGACGTGTGTGAGGGGTGGGTAGGTGTGGGTAATTTGTGGAAGTGCTTGTGTGTTATGACTAAGCCCATCAGCCGCCATCTGGCCACGAGCATGCTAATAATCTAGGCTTACTGCTGTCAGCACGGTTAATGCTAGCCTTCCCCTGCTCAGTCCACTTCCAGAACTTCCAGACGTGGAGATAAAAACTGAGTGACGGGGATCCCGATGTACAATGACCCAGCATGGCCACGGCATTAGCAGAAAAGGATGAGGATCCCCGGCCGTGCCTTTGCCTCACCATCTTATTTGAGCTGCTTCAGAGGGGCCGGTCGCTGGTTCAGGCCTCGGGCGC